TTTGTTCTCTTTCCATAGTATTGTTTCGTGGAAATTTATTTGGAATGCAAATAAAATAATATTTATAGAGCCAAAAAGAGATTTTATTTCTTTAAAATGAAACTAGTAGCAATGACCATATTACCAAAAATAAACATATAGTTAAAGTTATAAATTCTAAACCTTCAAAATATTTTTAATTCAGTATTTTAGGCTTTGTTTTAATGCTTTTACAAGTTTAAAAAGTTCTGCAAAAGCCTCACATAATAGCATCTGAAAAAAATACAAACATTTTGTTCTTTAGGGATAAAACATGCATTGAAGATAAACAGTCTCCAACAACATTGAAGAGAAACACAGGGTACTACAATACAGACCTATACACAAAAAAGTTAGATCTGTAACACAAAAACATTTTTACTTTTGTTGTGTACTTTATTCTTTGAGTTCATAATTCATAACCCCTAAGGTACTGTATTCTAACAATAACACTTTCCTTCAAAAAATCAAACAGTATCCTTTATATATTTGAAAGGTTTCCATGCTCTTACAGTTTTCCAGAAGATGAACAATGGAATCATTGGGATTTAAATGGAATCAAAAGGATTTAAAAGTATTATAATGTTATATCTGTTAGCCATAAAAATTTGGACCCAGCAATGCTGAAAATTTGCTGAGGAAAACTGTTCACAGGTAAAAGCACGATTTCAAACCTTTGAGCTCAAGCTTGCTGCTCTCTCTCTGTACGCATGTCAAAAAATGTGGGGAAAAAAGTTCAAAACTGCTCATGAGCACCAACTTGGTTTTTGCAGCCAGCTTTTGAAAACAAAAAAAGAAAAGAAAAGGAAAAAGAAACACAAGGAAAAAACCCATCTACAAAGCAAGAACAACACTTCCCTCCCTGCCCTAAAGAAAAGTTTTGTTGCTGGTATTTATTACTAGGTATTTGTATCATGTGGTTCCCTAACAGTAACCAAAAGACATATCAAACATCCTTCATTTGAGATCCAGCTAACATAACCAAGAAAGATTATAAGGAAATATCAGTTTGGAAGACCAGACATGTCTGCTGCAAGAGTAGGCTTTTAAAAGGACTTCATAAAGATTGCTTACCCAATTGGTGGTATGCCACAGCATAGAAAATTCCATGATGGGGGGAAAGAAATTGTTTTATCTTCACTTCAGACATATTTAGTAGGGAAATTTAATCTCTGGCCAATGGGAAGATCAAGTGCAGGCAGCATTAATCTCTTTTTAATTTACGTAAGGGAAAAGCTTCTGTTTGTTTCAGGGTAGGATGCCCTTAAACTGTTTCTATAGTAAATTCATAGGTATTCTGAGAAAGACAAACTTGCTGTAAGTGCATTTAAGCAAAACAAAGCCTCCTTTGCTGTAAGGTGATTGATGCTTTCTACTGATCTCATGTTTATTTGGTATACACTAATTCTTTATATCAAAGACACATCTTTTAGCCTTGGTTCAGAAGTGTTGGCAAGATGAAACATACTAGCACAAGGTTTTTTGACAGCTTAGTAACTGCTTAAGATTCTTAAACAAAACCTCCACAGTTTCTCAGTTGATTACATAGGATTACATGAGATGCAGCTACCAGACATTATTTCAGACTTCACTCACCTTGACTAACCAGTTCTCCTTTTCAAAGAGAATATAGAGAAAGATTTTTTAGACTTCAAGTGATTCAACAGCATTTGAACTTCCAGCATTTTACTACTTCCTTCAAAAGTCAGTGCTTGCTTTAAGAAGATACACCAGATTTCTGTATTTTCTAAGAATCTTGTTTCTATTATAGGACAATGCTAGTTCACCTTCCTAAGGCAGAGATACTTTATTGTCTTTGGTCTCCTAGTGTAATGTCTCTGGCCTCCTGATGGATGATTCAAGAGCTCCTGCTTGGTTCTTCATGAGCCAATGCAACCTTGAGATCAATACTAGACTTGGCAGCTAGCAGGGAGATTTCAAAGAATTTTAATTGGTCTTTTGAAAGTGCCTCAAAATGTCATAACAAGACTGGCCTGGCAGAATCTTCAAAGCCCCAGTTTTCAGATGTGAAAATCCTAGGTTTTTTTCTCCCTTCCTTCAATAGCTTTTTGTGGACCAGAGCACATCCATTTACTATCTGGTTCCCATTAGTAGGAAATAAGCATCCTAAAACAGAAAGTATACTAAATTTACCTTATTTTTGAGTGTCCCTTATTGTCTCTGAATTACACAGCTTACACAGCAGAATGTCCTTCAAAGACAAAACTTCAGTCAGAGATATAGAAACAGGAATGGACTGAGTGTTGCTCGTCACCTGTGATTTTACAAAGTGTCTTGAAACTCTTTGTCATTCCTGAAAGCAAGCTAAGTCTCAAAAGAGCTAAGATGATAAAAAATGACACAGAATAAATGAATAAAATTCAGTATTTATCCATGCTTTTTATTTTTTTTTAATTCTATTGCTTTTATCCATTTGAAACAGACATAACTTTGTGCTTTCAGATACTTTTCCCTATTCTACTCAATCATTTAACGTTTTTAGTTCTGTAAATAGATCAAAAGTTAAAAGGAAGTCCATGCTGGAAGAGAGCATCCAGATTCCCAGATGCCACACAAGGATTTTGCAAGACCAAGGTCAGCCAAGTATAGAGGAAGCTGGAAAAAAAAATGTAAACTGTTTAAAAGCAAAGTTAACAAGCCAGTAGGAATAGTTGTTTAATGAACATTGGATTTTCCAATGTCTAAACAGTCAAGTTGTAGTTCACTTCAAAGTTATTTGATTAATTTTAGATGTTCAAATTTCATGGTCTGTCTTTACATGGCAAGCCAAGAGTATATCATTATCTTTTGATTATGAAACCCTGTTAATTCCCAATAAAAAATACAAGTCGCTCTAAATCTTTGAAGCTTTTATGTTTCAAAAATCAAAACCAAGGTGTTCATGTTCTTGGATATCAGAAAGATAACACCTGGAAACACTTGTTTCCTTCTAGCAGTCCTCTGACATCTTTGTTTTGGCACTTGTACTCTTTCCCCCTTTCCAGTCAAGAGATACAGAGGAATAAAAGCTTTTAATCACATACAGCTCTTGCTTTACTGCTTCTACTAGTAGGGTTTTTGTTTCCCTATCTTGGATTCCCATTAAATGGACTTTTAAATCATAATGTGATAAATCTATCACTGATTAAATTACTCTTTATCCAGTGTTACAGCTGGGAGTGAGTAGGTGACAGATACAGCCTGTATTTTCCTTCAAGTAATTTCAGCATAGTTTGATATTTGAGAACCTATGTTAAAAATATTCTTTGATTTTCTTCATGGTGAAAAAATTTTATGTACTTGTTGGCCTACTGCCCAAAATCTCAGTTGGAGAAGAAAAGACTGCATATTGCACATTCACATTGCATTTAGAGAGTGTATACTTCCTGATGTTCAACTTCCATGCCAAGCAATAAAGGTAGAAAAACTTTCAAGAGAGTCACAGTTTCATATCAAGGAGTTTTGTTTAGTTCTGTTCCCTAGATTAAAATAACTGAAAATAATACAATCTATTTTGAATTCCCAGTCAATATTCTACTTAACATTATCCTGGGAAGAATTCTTTGCCAAGTTCTTTATCATGATGACCAAAGCAAAGCACACATCTTGTTTTTTAATTCTGAGAGACACAGACATCTCCTGTACTGAGAAATGATGGAATTGGTCACAGAGCACAAATTACCACTTTCAATTTCTTGATTTTTTTTTTTTTACCTTTACACTTGATGTTGCTCAAGACTGGACAAGATGGATCCCTGGAATCATGGCTTGGATGAACAGAACCTTATTGGACTACCTCAGAATGAACCAAATCCACACACATCAACTGCTGCATGTACTTGTATTCCTTCAGAACGTGTACAATCGTTTTTAAATGGGAGCCTGCCTTACACTTAGTAAACGCTGCTTTAGTGAGGGAATTCATGCCTTCACTGGCAATAGGAATACTGTCAAACTCGGTGAAACAGAACACTTTTAAATGATGTGTAACTATCAACACCTCTTTTGCTGTTTGTATGCTGGAAATATAGATTCATCATCTGTTAGAGTGTCTTGTTCAATTTTAGTTCTTTTTTCTCTGATTTTCTTAACATAGAAGGATCAAATCTTGGGGGGTTTGTTATGATTCTGAAGCACTTAGAAGAAAAATCTACCTCCTAATCTTTACAAAAGCAGAGACCAGTCTCAAAAACAGAGGCTCTACATGCAACAGTTACTGTTTTACTTCTCAGGTACTTCCAATACAACTGATTAGCTGCAGATCTCTACTGCATTAGTAGGCACAAAAAAGTTAAGGCAAACTCTTATTTGTAAAACAGGAAAAGAAAAGGCAGCAGGGTAACACTGCTGAATTAAAAAAAAAAAAACAAAAAAAACCAATTAGACAAGAGACAAGAGAACATTGCAAAATGAAAGAAACGCCACACAGAAAAGTTTAGAATACTTTATATTTCAAACGAAGACTTTATAGCTTTACAGAACAAAATTTCACTGCATAGAAAAGGAAAATTATTTTCTAGAGGTATTTTCAAGATTCAGATTTAAGGCTTAATAAAAACAGTGTCTTTGGAAAGACCAGACATGGTAGTCAAGAAAATTTATGACAACATATATTTTTCAGATGATGTTTAATTAACAACAAATTCAAATTGTTACTCATTGTTTGCTCATTCTCTGATGTTTAATTTTAAAGATAAAGCTTTTCCTTGACCAATTTTACAGACTTGTAAATACAGTATTGTAAAAAATTAAAAATAATTGTGACAATAAATTAAGAAAATGTGAGAAGGAGGAGGATGAGACAAACCCAACCCATCAAGGAGAAAATGCATTAGAAGCAATAGAAAAGTAAAGCAATAGAATTGAAGTATATTATATTGTCCTTCCAAGAGGACTTTGGGGGTTTTGCACATGAAATAAAATAGCAGCAAAGAAAACGGGTAAGTACAAGTGCATTTGTGTCCCACTGGAACTTGTTCTTATTAACCGAAACAGTAGTACTCATCAGAATCAATTTTGGGATGTTTATGCAGAGACTGTGAGTCCTCTGTGACAGAAGAATCACTGAATTTGTCCAGATCTGAAGGGGTTTGGTGACCAGGAACATCATCCACTAAGGTGTCCAAGTAACTCCCCACTGATATTCCATCCAGTCCATCACTACAGTCTTGTAAACTGCTACAGCTGCCATGGAGCGATGTCTCCTGACTTTCTAGCAAGCTGCACAGGCTTCCACTCAAACTGCTGCCTCTGCTGGCAATGGCTTTCTCTTCAAGCATCCACTTGATCGATTCAATGCTTTCATTGATGAGTAGGAGCTGGCGCATAAGCTTCACATCAGTGGCTCGGAGATTAACCTACAAGGAAAAAGTAATTAAAAAAATTACTCTTTTCATAATCAAGCCAAAGAGCAGGCTTGAATGGGCTAAAATAAAACACACAAAAAAAATCCAGCTTTCCTATCTAGGACAAATATAGTTCAGTAACTAGTAAAAAACCCCACAAGCAAACAAACAAAAAGCCCCAAAAGTATACCTATACTAATACTGGTCAGCCTTGTATGCACTCCATTAACAGGACTGATAGTCAATGGCAAAACTTGTATGCACACTGGTACAATGCCATTTAGATGAGAAACACAGCTGCTATGACAACTCCTGGGGATAGCCTTTCACTAATCAGAGAAGCAAGACACAAAGCCATTTCTATTTACCATTACTCTAAGCTACTTATGGCTACAGATGTCTAGGCATTCACCCCAAGTTATCCTTACTATGGCTACCTGGGACACCTAAAATTTTCAGATGTGCATAATTTGGAAAAAAGTTTGTGGATATTTAACTTTTACTCACACTACTCCTGAGTGGACACTAAAATCTGCTATATAAATGTCTGAGAGTTGAAATATTTAATTTATTGAAACTGTAACTTTCAGTTATTTAAACCCATATTAGATGAAGGTGATGAAGTTCAGAGTTAAATAGGTATTACAGGCATGGAGTAAGCATTTGCCATAGCTAACTAAATAAAAAGTGGACATTAAGAACAAACTCCTACTTTCTCACTTAGTTGTAGTCGTTGATGCAAACACATAGAAGTGTTAATAGTAATGCAATATTAATGGAATATTACAGTGTTGCATTTCACAGATATATTTGAGTTAACCATCCTAATGTTTTCCTTAACAGGCAAACTGTATAAAACCAATTTTTAAGTCACTTCAGCTGACAAATAAAGGTGACACTTAAGCCTTATATTAATTGCTTCCTTCTCTTCATCTGAAACATCATAGATACTGGAAAAAATAATCTGTGACCCTCCCATACTGAAAATTTGAAAGTCTTCACTCAACTGAAAAATAAAGTAAAAACAAGTAAGACCTATTACATCAGACAACAGATATTTTATACAATTCTTCAAGTCCACAATTGTACAGAAAAATAGCACCTGTATTGTTCATACACAATGGACTGGAACAGAATGAGTATTCTCAGGAAGCAAAGACTGTATCTTGTTTTGCCAAGAGTATAATCTGAACATGATCCTTTCCATACTCAAATGCCATCTTCTCAGTATCCCAAATTTCCCCAACTGGTACAGTTGTTTAAAAATTACTTTAATGTACTTTTATTCTCTTAGATACTGAAAGATTGTAGTGAATCCAGCTAGGACTCTTCCTAGCAGCTGTTATGGTTTTGCTCCCTGTATCTGTGACCAAAGCATGTCAGTAGCATTCCAGTGTTTTAGCTCTTGCTGAGCAGGGAGTGCAAACAAGGCCTTTTCTGTTTTTCACTCTGCACCCTCAGCAGGTAGGCTAGGACTGAGAAAGATGCATAGAGAGGACAGAGATGGGACAGTTGACCAGAATTCATCAAATGGTTATTTCTTGCCATAGAATGTTGTGCCCAGCAATAACACCTGTGCATTTAATCTTTCCTTTACAGCTGCTGCTTGGGGGCTGGCTTGGTCTGCTGGTGGGAGATGGTGTGTCATTGGCTTTGCATCACTTGCTCATTTAATTTATTTCCTTAATTTTTAAACTGTCTTTGTTACAGTCTAAGTTTTTCTCACTTTTGTTCTTCTAATTCTCTCCCCTGATCCCACTCGAAGAGGAGAAGAGAGTGAGTGAGCAGCTGGTGCACCCTTAGTTACTGGCCAGGGACAACACAATGCAAAGACATTTCAAGCTTTGCCAGTAACAGACTGCCTGTGTAACCATCATATGTACTCCCAGCTTCCTTCCCCAGTCCCCAGAATGACTTCTGAATTATTCTCAATCCAGCATCACAAGATTTAACACAGCTAACCTGGTACTGTGCAAAACAGCTCTACCTACCATTCATAGTTTTAACAATATTGCCCATCTATCATTGTTTGAGAAGTGAGGTTATGAAAACAGATTGACCATTTTGTAGTTCTCCTGCCCAAGCCAATTCCTCTACTCTAACTAATAAATCACTATAAACCATTTGCTCGGCAACTAGGCTGTCACGAAAGCAGTAAATTACCCAACTTCTCAAATACAACTACAGACTTCAGCAACTTGCTGAAAATAAAATGCTCAAAGACAAGTTTCCCAAAAGGCTGATTAAGGAAATGTTTAACAGAACTAGCACCAACATGACTCAAATGAAATAGTCCCTCTTAGATAAAGTAGACATCTCATATATTTCAGATTCAGTTCACAGGAAATATTTTTTTTTCTCTAAATACAGCAACAGCTTTAGCATTTTTGTGGAATAGCCTTACTGGAAACAATTCTTTGCATTCCTGAGTACTAGAATACTCCTCCTCCTAGCTACCATTCTAAATCTCCCATATCAAGAGCGGGCTTTTCCTAAAGCAAATACTAAAAAGTAGTTTACAAGTGTCATCTTTCTTTAATATGGTTTACTTCATTATCTGTTCAATAACACAAAAATGCCAAAATGACATTTTTTGCCCCTTATGTGCTCTAGCACAGATATAATCACATGAGCTTTTACTCACTTATGTAGCTGCAAACAATTTATCTTGGAAGTTGTTGGAGTATACAAGTTGGAGTGTTTTTGGAGTAAACAAGTCAGTCCAAGACTGGTTCAGCTAACAGGACTAAACACAATAAAATCTCACCATGCTTCACAGCTTCATTTGTTATGCACAGTAACAGGTGCATTTCAGGAACAATCTAAACAGCGTATCATAGCTAATACAGGCTTTTCAGAACAGTTTTTATAGCTGTCCCTTAAGTTAAAGCTAGAGCACAGGACCACTATAGGGAAGGTGTGTGTTATTATGGACCAATTCTCATCAAAAACTTACGGTGTATAAAGAAAACTACAAAAGAGTAAAAACTGATTTCCTATTACAGGTTAACTTTTATATAGTTTTGCTTAGTCTTGCTCCATATATTTCCACAATAGTGCTGATCACAGGAAGGAATACTAAATGTTTGACATTAAGAGCTAGTCACAGCAAGAGAAAATAATGAAATTAAAGTGACAGCATCTTTCAAGTAACACATTCTGGTGGTGTAAGTGCACAGATTAGCATTCAGAAAAAAACAGAACTTTAATCTGGAAGGAATAGCTGGACTAAACACCTGTCTGTGTCTCCCTCTCATACCAGTTGTTCTAACAAAATATTTCTTCCTTTCTTTTGGTCTTCTGTAATAATATGTACAACACTCTCATAACTTGTTCAAGAGAATTGGTATATATATATAAACATTAAGGGCTTTTGTGTACATATATATGCAAAGAGACACGCAAATATCCATGCTATTTTTTAATATACTTCAGTGTTTTTGAGAAAGATTGACTAGGTTATTGCTTTTAGAATAAAACTCTTAATGACCAGGACTGCTAACAAACACAATTATTGCTTCCTGGCAGTCACCCAAAGTAGTGCATTGATCACTTGGTTTTTGGATCAAAGTCACATATGTAGTCACAATTTGGGCAAAACAGCCTTGTATTCTGCTGCTGTGTGTTATGCAGACATAGCTTCCAGTCAGTTCCAAACACAGTGGGTCACCTTCCCCTCCAGAAATGGCAAACCTAGACTGGTAATATACCCTGCTAAGCTGTGAAAGCTGTTTGAAATGTTAGATTCTTCCTGCAGATTACTTTCTTTTAAATTGCTGGCTTCACATGCTGCTTCTTCTAATTACAGGAACTCTGCAAGGATATTAATGGCAACCATAAAATGTGGCTTCAGGAAAAGATATCCCTAAGTTTATTTAAATTATTTCATCAGAAGCTCTGCTCTGCATCTCAAAATGAATCTAGGGTTAGCTGCTCTGGAATCTGTGTTCTAAAACATCTTGAGTTTGGACACAAATTCCATGATAAGTGGAAATGGATGGAAACAGTAGCAAAGTACTCCTGGGGAAGTCTCTCAGACCTTCCCAGGCCTGGGAAGTCTTGCAGAAGTAACAAACATGGGGAGGGTTAGATGAAACTACCTGCAGCCAATTCCATCTCTTGCTAAACACTACCACACCCATCTCTATCTCACTTTTTTTTTTTATAAACAGAATTTCAAACCTGTAGAACTTTTCCACACTAAATAGATCTGCATAACCACTATGGTTCAGGAGTATTAATGCTACTATTGTTTCAATTTCCTAAGATGCATCAAAGATAGCTTTCTGCTTTCCTGTTCAATTTCTTCTATTTCCCTCATTCAGGATGAAGAGCTTGCCAGCTATGCCTACCTCCCCTTTAAGTTTTAAAAGGGAGGTTACCTCAGCTAAAAATTGATGGAATTTACTATAGAATAGTAAATTCCATCAATTAATTCCAGATGCAATTAAAAAAAAAGCAAACAATCAATGTCCAAATAATAATTTGTTTTGCAGTCTGAGATGCCTCTTCTGAAAAAAAGCTAACCTTATTCCATTTTCTCCTGGTGTTATTTTTACTATTACAAACACTGAATAACAAGTTTTAAAGTAACTAAGGAAATTAATTTAAGAGGCAAAAGATGAGGGTGAGGAAAATAAAACAGTGGTTGGCAATTACTCAAGTCTTATCAAGATACAAATATATAGTAAGAAGAAATATAAGGATAAAAAAACTGATCAATAAAACCTCATAGACTAATTCTGTGAGACCATAACAAGCTAAAATACCATAAGCAACTTATTCAAAATACAAAATTCAAAATACGTGAATTCAAGTTTTATTTAACTGTAGTCACCAAGTTAACAGGTTTACAACAGGGATGAGTCTGGAGACACACATAGGATTTGTTTATAAGACACCATCTTGAAGCCTGAAGCATGCCATTTGAGGATGAGCAAGCTGAAAGTGGTACTACAACAGCTTCTCAACACCAGTGAGTAAAAGAGATGCTCTTTTTTTCCCATTTAACA